GGAGCGTAAAGGTCGCGGGGCAGGCGGGTCTCGTCTGCGGCAAGTGTCGGTTTGTGGCTGAGCTGAGGGCGGTGTGTGTGGGAGGAACCGGGGGGCAAGGAGGAACATGTCCCCTGGGTGAGGCTGAGCGAGCTGGGACTGCTCAGGTGGGAGAAGAGAAGGCTCGGGGGGTCTTATCACTGGGGGGGGTTGGAGCAGGTGGACCCCGGAGGTCCCTGCGAGCCTCGGCCGTTCTGTGGTTCTGTAATGAATTAATGTGGATGTGAACGTACGTACGGTATGTGTGGTAATAACAGTAACAAAAAACCCTTCCTCGCCTGTTTTTAGTGTCTTTGTTCCCTTCTGTTGACTCTGCCCTAGTGGGTGCGAGTCAGCTTGCAAGGAGGACTGATTCATGATGCATTATCTCTGTCCTTGTAAAATTAAGGCGGTTTCTGGAGAGGTTTTCAATAAATACATACAAAAACAAAATTTCACAGAGTAAAGTATTTTTAAAAATGTTAAAGCTTTATAAACATCTGTAAAACTTTCATATAAATATTTTGCAGATTGTGATGGTCCTTTTCAAGCAACTCAGCTGTGGAATAGTATTATTCATGCTCTTCACAGTCAGGTGGAAATCAAAAGGCGTAGACAGCATCTGAAAACATACAAAAACTGTTTCACTGGCTCAAATGCTGTTGATGTGGTACTGAGCCATCTTATGCAAAGCATGTACCTAAGCTGCAATGATATTTCTCGGCTGAAGGGAGTCCGTGTATGCCAAGTGTTGATGGATCACAAGGTGTTTGAGCCAGTTGGAGCAAAGCTTTACTTATTCAAGAATGAGAAAGAAACAGAGTTTGAAGACACAAACACTAGTCTCTACAAATTTGTAAATAGCAGTCTTACTCCTTTTCTTCCGAGAAAGAATGAAGATAATGAGAGCTTGTCTCCTGAGCAAATCTGCAAACAGAAGACAAAAAGACGTTCCAAGTGGGTTACTCTGAACTATTTTGATTTCTTTTTTTTTTTTTTTTAAAGTTAAGGTGGGTTAACTGCAGATGAAGTTATGTTTGTCTAGCCCAGGTATTGGGGGCTTTTGGAACTATGTGCGAGTTTTGAGAAACGTTATGCCTAAATAGCAAGTGCTATCTAATATTTCTTGGTAATGTTAAACTGCTTTGATCTTCCCTTTGTTATTTAAAATAGAGTCTGGCACAGTAGCATAAGCTTAGGAACCATTTTGTTTTGCAACCAGTTGTGATGAAATCTGAGAATTAACATGAATGAATTACTAGCTGGAAGCTGGTAAAAGAAATGGAACCAATAAACAGTATTTGGAATCAATATCCTTGCCCTTTCCACAAAGCAGATGCGGATAATTGGTTTTCTAGCAGCAGGATAGACCTCGGATACAAAGAAGCCCTAAGTCCCGATTTAACAGCAGTTTGGGAAGTGACAGAGATAAATGTGTTCTGATTGTATTTGTTATACATCTAACTTATTATTTTCCCCCTGAGCAGAACGAAGTGTGAAACAACACGTTCAAACCCCTTAGCATTAGAAGCAGCTGATAAAAAGAGGGTAGAGGAGCTCCTTCGATCAATAAATGTTCATGCATCTTTACCTCCAAAGATCATGGTTAATGAACCAACTCATCTGCTTTCAAAAAGAGGTGAGGATTGAATTTTTCTTTTTAAAACTTGATTGTTCTTCACTGTGTCTACTTGGAGTGAGTACCTCGTTTCTGTTAAACACTGCCCCTCAGAGTCCTAAATTTAACATGTCACTAATGACAAAATAGCAAAATGAGTGCTAAATGAGTAAATGCTCATAGTAAGTAAACTGAAGGAAACAAAACAGGATTTAAGTTTTTGCAGGATGGTGCTATTCTAATTATGCAAATACCACTTCAGAAGGAAATAAGTTTTAAGATTAAGTACTTCTGTATTATATGGTTCCTTTGCTCTTCACTTGTCTTTGCTTGTATGTATTACTAATTAGAGTAGGTTATTACTAATTCTAATATGATGGAGAGAGATGTTCTCTTTAAAGCCTTCTTTCTTAGCATTCCTGTTTTGATCCCTTCTTCCCCTGCTGTTACCTTGTTTTCTTTGAACTCTTAAAACATTCTTGAGTGAGTAAAAACAAAGGTTAGTGTTTTAGGTAAGATCTTATTTCTGAGGGTGGTTTTTTGTTTGTTTATGATATCAGTAATAGAAGATGTCTGGAAACAGCAAACTCTGCTACGATTGCTGCAGTTGATTGATGTTCCACTTCTAGAAGATATCTTGGTGTCTTCAGTGAAGACAAAACTAGACTGTTTTGGCAAAGAAGAAGACCTGATTATCTCAAATACTTTCCTGGACAGAGAGGTTACATGTAGCTTAAACTTGCCTGAGTAAGTTACACATCTGTGAAATGTATTTGTTAGTAAACACTTTATTTTACTCTTGACCAAACATTTGTGTTAAGTGAACAAAATGGACATCATTATACTTGCAGATGGGGGTGGCGTTAATGTGCTTTCCTTTGTTGGCTTCTTCTCAGAAGTGGTAAGGGAATTCACAAAAAAATACATGTTTGGGATTGGACATTTGAGGATTTTAAGTATACATTAAAACTTTAACCTCAAGTGTCAAAACCACTCCTAGTTTCCAGACCAGACACTTCACTCTTAAGTCTCTACAACAGATGCTAGAACTTGAAAAAGTTATTCTGAGACTTTGTTTGTTTTTCACAGTCCTGGTGGTGGTGCTGTGAAGATAGAAAGTCAATAAGGCATCTATTGTTAACAACAGAAAAGGAGAAGCTAAGCTGTAGCGCTGAAGAATGCTTATATCATGAGAATATAAAAATGAAAGTGGCTGTATGTCGTCAGTGCTCTTTTCTTTAAATGTTCTCTTATTTTTGTAGTGTTCCTGTTGATTGCGCTTTGGCTGATCTCTATCTTAGCATGTACTTTTAATGAATATGTCAAGGCATGTCTCCTCCTCTGTGTGTGTCATAGTAATGCTTATTTCTGTCAAATCAATACTGTTTTTATCTGTGAGATTTGAGGTCAATCTCTGTACCTAAAGAGACATTCTTACAGTTTTTATGTATTCTTGCTCTAGGGAAAAAATACTAATATTTTTACATAAGTTTAGAGTTTTACATAAGATAGTGAAACTCCTGGTTCCAAAGTAGGTTTATTGCTGGATAGCATCTGAACTCCATGGGTTTTTCCTCCCAAAATGGCTTAATGAACACTGTTTCTTTTGAGCTTTATACTCCTGTTCTGCTTGATTATTGGGCGATTGGTGGGTTTATGTCTCTTAAAATATCTTATATGTGGTTCTTACTCTATTATTTTGTGTTAATTGTCTCTAACATTTGGGTCTTTGCTAATATATCAGATGAGCGTTTAGAAAATTAAATGCTTGCTTCATTACTTCATTCTACAATTAAGTGGGGGGCTGGAGTAATGTCTTTGTAGACAGTATATTACTTAGGTCTGGCTTTATAGCATGCTTGAGAAATGGGAAAATTTCAGGTATGAAGAATAGCCACCAGTATTACAAGAATTTGGAGGATTAATAGCCCCCAATATGAAGGTGGGGGAGTAAGCATAACTTATATCTCAAATTTTCTGTCTTCAGTTTTCAAATAGTGTCATGTTACGCTTGAAATAATCAAATACTTGCTCTCCATGCAGGCAATTAAAAACTGTAATCAAATCCTGCTTGCAGTGATTGCACTGCTCATGGGATCATAACTAAAGGAAGGTCATGATCCTGTTTCTACTTTACTGTATTGCCCCATTTACGCATCCAAGACTTATACAATCCTTGTTGGCTGCAGCAGTTCTAACAAAAGTTCATGTTTATCTAGCTGTCCAGCAGCAAGTTCAAAATCTTTTTCTGCTCTCCATGATTAAAATAACATTGTATGGATCCTAAATAATAACTGCATCTCCTCACACGTTATTGATTCAGTTCAAATTATTTTATATCCAGAGTGTCAAATAAAAGTAAGTCTCCCTCTGCGCCTAACATTTCTATAATTTTAGATTTCTTCTGTACAAAATGGTTGAGTTAGTGACTTTTTCCCCTGACCTTCCAGCCTCTTTGAACAGTGAGTTGTCTACCCGAATTTTAGGTTCTCCTTGCATTTTCTCTCCCTAGTTGAGTCATACAGGCAACAAATGCTTAAGAAAACTCATGTGTTTATAGTAGGTCATGTAATAAACTGCTTCCACAGTATTCTGGGATTTAAACTATTTTTGTTGTTCTCTGTTTTCAAACTAATTGTCTTGTGTCTTTTCTGTAAAGATCCAGTCCCTTGCTTTTTCACCCTGGTTAGCCCAGGTGGGTTTTCATTGTGTGTGTTGGAGTAATAGCGGGGTGGTGTTTGGTTTTAAATACTAGTTGAATCAGGCAAGTGTCCTGGGGTCAGTGACAGTCTGGCATGATTGCAGCTTGTTTTGATCTGGGCATA